CTCGTAGCACGATTACTCGCTGCTCTTGGTCTGGGTGCTCCCCTTTGGCCTTCCTGGCATGGTTGCACCTTGTGGAACGAAGTTCCAGCCAATATTGTCCGCGGGATCATTGCAGCACTCAAGCCCGACCACCACGTCAAGGTGGCAGCTTTAGGTCAGGCAGCGAATACCATCCTCATGACAGAAAGGAAAGAAATGGAAGCAATAATTGCCCTAAAGACGTGCATTTATTACTTCAGAAAACATTGTGTTGAAAATTGAAAAAGTGTACACCTTCAAGGTTGGTCTTAGCAGGCTCTTTACTTTAGCCTACAAATAAACTGCAGTAGTACGCAAGTGTCTTACTCTTTTAGGACATCGAAAGCAAAAAGAACCTGAGCGATATTTTGCCTGATGTCAATAAGATGAAAACGAACATTCAAGGCATCCTTTCCAACCACATGTTGCTTATAGATCCCATGGTAAACAGCCTCATGTGTGAGTCATAGGTGAAATTAGGACCACCGAAGCAAAACCTTTCGAGATTCCAACGCTAAATGTGAGCAGTGGGCGATAATATTTCTGGACGCCAAACTAGTGACCACCATAAAAAGACGACAGTTTTGATTTTTCTCATAAGGAAGCAGTTTCTATACTCCAACATCAACAAAAGTTTCCAAAACCAGCTGTTGATATTTTAGACAAATTCTGTGATGTTAGACTAAATTTGCTTTCTAGTATAAGAAAGCAACACAAGAACTCTGTAGCTACTTCTTTAAAAGACACGTCTTGGTTACCTAACTATCAATTGTTTGTTTTACTTATGGTTAATGTTCGATTTTATCTCTCTAAGGCAAGACCACTGGAATCCTCATTCGCTGATAATTCTGACCATACAGTTTCGCTGTGGTAAAAAGGACTGGAAATCACCTTTCTCGACATTCCGCCTCCGTCAAATATCTTCGCATATTACTGTCATTTCCCAGTACCGTACGTGACAACACAGGTCATGTCTGGTCATTAACTAACGTTGGTAGCATGCGAAAGTTACACGTAATCTCATGGCGTCAGTCGCGGGGTTAAAAGCTGGGTTTTGTACAACACAATGTGCGATATCCCTCACCATTTACTCTTTAGTGACGTTATTCCTCACGCAAAAATATATCACCATCAATGAACTCAAAACAAGACTCAGTAGTTGTGCCCTGCTTACCAAGTTCAAGTAGAACAATCAAGACCTCTAACTTTTATTTCTAATCATCTGAGGCCGTGTGCTGACACTAAGAATTAATTCTCACTACTGGTCACAGTTCAGTATGAGAACAGTCGTTTCAATTGCACTTTCAGTTACCATCAGTGTGCCTACATATCCGCATACAGCTGGTTTACTCTTCGTTTTTAAGAAATGTACCGCACATTGTTTTATCTCAGGTGCTTCCTCGTAACAGGTGATCAATTTGACTGGGTAACAAGCATTTACGTTGACTGATAGCATGAAGTCGCTGCTGCAGATATTCCCATTGACTGACGTACTTTACAAAAAGCACTTGGAAATTTAAAAAATGGGATAACCTTACATTTTTATCGAATGAGTCAAGAAATTATAAGCTGATTACACTTCGAAAAGACCGAGCTTTGTCCCCGAAACCTTAAGCATCACATTCCCCGATTGGCTAACGCGTGAGTGCATTGTCTGTACTTCAAAGAGGAAAGACGTTTCTCAACTAGCTCGCCCGCCAGAGTGACATGATTATTAGAATGATCAAACATAAAAGGTCAACCAATAAATTCAGACCCTATCTGAGATATTTCCATTTCAAACTGAAGGAGTATAAATTCACGGGCTGGGAGGAAAAAACCAAGGGCAGGAAATCCAAGCACGCTGCTGTTACGCATTGTCCATTTATGGGTTTTCTTTGTGTAACACAACCCATGTATTCGAGATTCAGGTTCATTTTTTTGATGCATGATAAACGCGGTGCATTTGCATCAGAGTGGAGAAAACGTTGGGACAAAAAACAGGATTCGGCAGTTCAATCTCATCAGATGATCTGCCTTATATCAACAGCGCTGAATAATACTCAGGAGTCAGTCGTGAACCAGAAGTGTTTGAAATCCCAGTTAGATCGAAACAAGCTGAACATAAGGTTGACGGAAACTCGGGGACTGCGCCTACCTGATGGGCTCCAAGAAGGGCGAAACCGGTCGTGGGCTGTCGAAGAGTTTTCAGCAACCTTGTGGATAGTTTCCTCTATGAAGAAGAAAGCACTTGCTTATCCTATCAAGCGAATTGATGTAAAATATTTAACCAGGAAGTAGGTCGTTCTTTAATCTGCTCAGCGTATTACTGATCTGTGCCTACGAGAGCAAGGAGTGTGCACCCACAATTCTGAGAGGCCTCTATCTACGCTAGACAAAGGGGGAGCTGAGCATGTACGTTTAATATTAGTTGTATTGCTAAAAACAACCTGAGCGTGAATGTGTTTTCACTGGCTGCATTCTAGCCAGAGGTAGCATTGTAGCTCAGGGGCATATTCTACTTTCCTAAGTTTAAAGTAGTCTCGCTACCTTTCAATACAATAGTAAAATAGCAGCACACTATTTCCCAGAATGATACTCAATAAAACTGGACGGATTGGTCTTGAGGCGGAAATGTGTGCTGTGTGTGGTCACATGACTTTTTGTAGTTCATAGAGATCGTGCTCCCCTACTTGCAAGGTGTATATTGTACGTAACAGTCTTTCATCATCACAGGTAAACTGCATGTACGATCTGCGAAAGAACCCCGCACAGGTAATATGCTCGTGAGGTATTCCGTCACTGATATTGAATAAGTGAATTCGCGTAAATCGCTCGTCTGTGCTTATGTTTAGCCAGCTGGACAGTGCAATGACTGCCCTTAGATTCAATTGGTTCGATATTCAAGACTTCGTAGTATGTTTTTCTTCATCAAAAACAGTTTGGATGCATCTGAATGTGCCAACTGGAAAATTGTAACTACTGACCATAGAATATCCATTAAAAACATTCGTTAGCTCGGTCCTTTAGCATACATTCATCTCAGAAAGTTACCGTAAACGAATTATTCTGAATTCTGTTCATAGCCACACCATTCCCGTTTGAACGGTCGTGTTCTTGCTCTGACGTAATTATTCCGGCGAGTCCACACCAAAGGGAAGCACTGGACTTGAGTTTCGTTCTTATTAAAGTTCATCAGTAGGGCATATCCAATGGCCGTGCCGATATTCGAACCCAGGACATCTGACAAGTGAGGCGAGCGGGTAACCACTACTCCACCAACGCACTTTGGGCGCATCTGAATTTTCACGTCTGAACAGACTAACGTGTTCACACTGAATTCCACACGACACACAACACTCCGAAGCAGAAAGTAAAGGGCAGTGCTTCTTGTGAATATCTCAATAGCTTATGCGTTGATATATAGATTACTGTGCAAAGTGTACAGCCACATTTTACATGTAACCAGTGGCTGCTTGATCAACGTAAATGACCTAACTACGCAGGGACGCCAGAGCAATAGACACGCGCCTTGGACATAATTCGGAGTGAACGAAATATGTCTGTTTTCGTTAACAGTGTTCAAAAGACTTGGGATATGAGTCGGAACTTTTGACGCAGAACGCACAATCTATCAAATCACAAGTAAATATCATCGACTGTTTTATCGAACTCCAACAGGTATCACAGGAACTTTCGAAACTGTCGCACACGTTCTCTTAACGAACCATCAGTTTCGCTCATCGGCCCAGCAGTTGGCTAAAGGGTTTGGCATACCTTTCGGTTCGGTGCAAAATCCCTGACTCATATATGGATTCACATTGTACACGGTGCAGTGGATTGAGGTAGTTTTCCATATTCATTCACCCGAATGTACGGGCACCACACCAGTGGAGGAAAACCAAACTTACGTGCACGGCTCGCACGGCAACAGTAACTGCTCATTTCGAAATTTTGTTGCCAGACTGATAAAATTATGGATTTTGAGGTTGCATTTTCTGAAATCCAAACATGTGACATTAATCACGTTCGTCAATGGATTTCTATTGCACACCTCTTTCTTTCGGCGTAAAGGTTGACAGACGCACGCATGTGCCTCTGTGACTTCTAAGGAACAAAGATTATGCGCATATCGAATCAAGCAAATATCGGTCTGAGGTATATAGTGCATGTCAGATTTGCTCAGTGGAAACGAGTGAACGCGTAAATTGTGGGACTAATGGAAGACTCAACATGGACTAGTTAATTAGTGCATTTTTAATCAGTAGCTCCTGTAATTCTTGTGATGTATATTTATGGCACTGAAAGATGAATTTGACGGCATTAGATGCTTCGTCTGTAGTAAAACAAAGTGGATGAAACGATGAACAGTTAGGCTATTTCCTAATTAGCAGCTGTCACAGGCGACAACAGTCGGTCCTTCGCCTATTTAAGTGAACAAACGAAAATACATGATTCATCACCCTAATTAATCAGGCGCAATTACCTAAAATTCGGATGATGTGTGACTAAACACATGTTAGCTACGGTAGATGCATGGGATCACAGACGAAGGCCCGATGTGAATGGCATAAGATGTAGTTCAATCTATCCAAAACTTCTCGAGGTGCGTTAATTGTCATAACTACCGGTTAATGCTGTCGATAGTCAAGAAACATTTGGATAGCAGAATAGTATAAGCCTATGCTTGAAATGACTCCGCACCCAACATCATCTCAAGTTTCAGCTGTGCATTCATCTCTACAAAGGAAGTTTATATTGTAAGTAAACTGAGATAAATAACAATCCAACATCTGTCAAATCACGGTAGTGTGCAAATACCGAAAGTTGGTTTCTTCTTGTAGCCAATCACCGCGCAAGCCACTCGCCTCCCGCTGTTGCCATTAGCCAAGCTGGCAGCGTTTCCTCCTAGACCCAGATCGTCTTGCTGTTCATGGATCACAAGACTAAGCCCGATAAATCCATCTGTGGGGTCGAATCGATTCTGATTGACACGTAGATTGAACGTCATTCTTCCCCTGCGATCAGTTTGCAGATTGCCAAGGTCACCGTCGTGACGTATTTCTGAGTCAAGTCCTCCATGAGTACTAAGAATAGAAAGACAAATTCACTAAGTAATCAAATATTTTTCTGTTGCCAGTGCTTCAAAAACGGCATCATAGAAAATTGATTGTAGGGGAATTTTCTGACGAATACCTGGATTAGATTGCACTGAGCAGGTTTCCTGTCTTGAGCCATACTATTTTTGCAGTCATAACAAATCTGTGAAACTTCTGCTTGCAATCCAGCCCCGCCGTAACTTTGTGTCTAACCTGGTCTTGCAAATAAAGAACATATCGGAGGAAAGCGGTTGGTTGTGCAGACAATGCAGACGCCCACATTCTTCACCAAAACACCATAACAAAATACCACCAAACACTAATTCAGTCAAGCACCGGCAAGCAAGCCGCACTTCACTTTATGACCAATGATTGTGCTTCTTATCCATAAATGTTGCGAAAAGTGCTACACCGTCATAGACTGGAAACCAAGGTCGGATACTGATGCAAGCTCACTGGACCTTCTTGTGAAACTTTCGGGCTAAGACAACAGACAAAGTTGACGACCTTGTCCATCATGTCCATTAGTTCTTCCAAGGGTTCATAGTTTTGTCCACACGATTGGTGAATTTTTGACATCTCTTTTGAGTTACTGCTCTGTCACAGTCAATTTTATGGAGTTGCAAGTGTGCTTGTGAGCTTGCAAGGTTGTGAGGAAAACCAGCCGTCAGTGGCAATGATTCGTAGATAGATAGATAGATAGATAGATAGACAGATAGATAGATAGATGTGGGTTTCGAGTATCAGTGTCCATATGTGTCCGTTTATCAAACCTATCTCGTTCACCCGTCAAACCATCTCTGAGGGCCGGGTTGGTTTCGAATTTGCGTACGGTGTCATTTTAAACTAGTTCAACATTCACACCCAGGTGTTGACTACTGTTTATCTCATGAGCCACCTCGTCCTTCTTACAGAAGTGTTTGGCAACTTACCACACGTAATACAACACAGAATGGCAAAGACCACTGCTAACTAAGCTAATTTCCAGATTATATTGCGTAGTGACGGATATAAATTTTATCTTGGCTGTCATACTTAAGCGTTTCCTGTTTTCTATTTTTGCGGAGCATGATTTGCCAGGGAAGAATATAAAGATAGGTAAGAACTGCCCTCTCCAAAAACAAAGAAAGTCGTTTACCGACGACCCGTTTGTGACCTTGTAAGAATAAGTAACGAGTGTACGGTGCTAGTTTGCGGTTCTAGGAAGTTCAATTTGCCGGTATATTTGAGTTGACTCACCGATTAATTGGGTTCCAATGTCCACCGGCATTGTTGCAATGGTTTTCCAAATCTCCAGTCTCATGAATGTGGACTCCCATTGTTCTCTTCCTCTGAAACCCAAACAGCACTCCGGTAATGTTTATCTGACTTCGGTCGGTGGGCGTGAAGAACACCTGTCCATTCACTGAGCCCGAAAATGTTGCAACACCTTCTGCCCTTTGAACTGGATAGGAATAGTAAGAAGCAACCAGTATAAGTAATGCTAATCTGATAAGTTTTCCTGAAGTTGCTCATTTCTAAAAATGTCACTTCAAAGGACTGGCATAAGGTGTTCACTATAAAGGGTGATCATCCAGTTAGCTCTCAAGGCCAAACAGATGCAACATAAACAAACTAGAAACAATGCCTGTCCGCTAACCTTGACTTTTTAGAGGACAGCTGAGTTAAATAGGCAGATGAAAAACAGCGGTACAGTTTACTAACCTTTTCCTTCTTGTTGCAAAAGGATGACAAGAAGACGAATCAAACTTGGACTAACCATGATCGAGAGTTTATCAACAACAATTCTGTATCCAAACTTGGCCAAACCTATTTATATCGTGTTACCGTATGAATCAACCAATAAGAGCTATCGTAGCTGTATCTAGTACGACTTGGAATTCACGTGACCCGTGATTTATTGTTTACCGATGGACAAGGGCGTAAACATATGTATGTATTTATTTATTGTCTGATCTTGCCATCAGCCAGGTTACATAAAACAACCGTATACGGTCTCACGCATTGCCGTGGTTTTGAGTGACACCATGGCTTTTTAAGGATAACCTCTCTACCACTACGCAACTTCATTCCCATCTAAAACGTTCACCTGCATTCTCCACTGATGTGAAGAAAAGAATCAAACGAGATTTTGGAGAGTCTGACTGTTGTGCCATTCATCAACCCAGTCTGCAACCCACAACTCGTCCCAATTTTAAGTTGAACCACCGGAGTAACCTTCATAACAAACTCTACTCCACAAGTGAACAACTCCGAATTCCGTCACTTCTGATCACTACTGCGAGATTTCGTTTGAGTAAAATAGCTTTTCAAGATATTACAAAAAGTCTTGACAACCATTATCTTTCGCAACCGCAGCCATCAGTCCCACCAGCAAAGCAAGGATGTAAAAATTTTGAACCGTATAGAAGTAGATAGACATCGCAGTCAAGTACGTATCCTGAGAGGCAGAGATCTCGAAAAAATTATTTTAAAACAACTTTAGTCATCACCCAAGAAACGGGAACGTGAAAAGACTAATCAAAATGGTGTTCTATCTGTGAGCCAAAAAAGTTAATAGGTACTTATAGGGAACAAGAAGTAACATTAGATAAGCAGGAACTGTACTTCGAAGGAAGTTACCATGAAGAAACATCCATCGACAAATTACACTACCTAGGATTACCATATTTTGTTTTTTGTTTATTTGTAATGTACTACTCATAAGGTTGCCTGAGAACATCATAAACGAGAGATTCAGCTGGGTTCCAGGTGAGTCTCTCGAAAGAACCAAATTAGTTTGCAGATGAGTGTATATTCGCTGAGATAAATTTATGTTCTGCACGTTGAACGTTTCTCGGATTCTGTTAGTTCCATGACATTTCACCCTTGCACATTTCACACAATAGAGCGCATCCTAATACAAGGATGCCTGTCTTCATGAATAATCACTAAACCTACAGAAATGGTGCAATAAAATCATTCCAGAATAGCCTTGTTTAGGCTATTAGTTTGATTCGGTTCCAACGAACGGTCAAAAATAGAACCACGTTGAATATAATCCGCTACAATTACCACCCTTTAAAACCAATTGTTTTTATTGTGCATCCCTAAGAACTATTGGTCAGAGGCTGAATAACTTGAGCGAAAATCCCTGCATGATTCGACCATTCTGATTGGTCACTTGGGCGCCCCAGAGTGGAAGTTCATTGTTAACTGTTATTTTCTGTAATCTTTAATTAGTCAGTTTCCGTTTTCCACACCTCAAATTTGCATTTTGTTGAAACGGACCCACTGGATCCGTTGACCCATCCTGAATTGGCACCAAACCTGATGTGGTTTTAGGGCTTTGCAGTTTCAGCTTTTGGAAGAATGACCACTTTTCTAATAAGACCGGTTTTAGACAAGGTGAGGTACAAAAGTGCATGTAGTTCTGCCGATGACTGTTGGCTGGATGACATGTGAGGGAGGACGAAAAGCGAGGCAGTGAACCAGCACATGACCGACTTTGGAAAAACGCCAGGTTTCCCAATTCTGAACACAGAACAAACACTTTCACTAGGAGAAACACGGGTCGGTGTTTTCTGGTGCTCCAATTACCGAAAAGTATCCACTTCTAATTCGATATCCAAACGTATAAAAATCGATTCAGTGAACATGGCCCGTTCGGGTCTTAATTAGCACTCTTTTTACTCACGGTGTGTGGGCGACATTTTATTTTTCACAGACGGTAACCTTTTTGGAAATCTTGCAACCGCATAAACAGTTCTCATCCAAGCCCTTCAGCGTCTATCGAGGTAGAAATTGATAGTGGCCCCGCATCCTTGGAAATCATTGTTAGGCGCTTAAAGGGCAACTTTGGAGGTTATGTGTACCACGAGCTCATATGTACTGGCAATGTTTACGGTTTTTTTTATTTCTTAGGTCATCAAAAGCCTAGTACCCACTTGGTTTGTACTCCTTATTCTATTCAGGAAGAAAAACGATCCCTAAAAAGAGAAACTTATCGAAGTTCAAGTAGTAGTCTGAGTAATCAGAAGAAGGAACTGGTTTTCATCAGAGTGCAGTTTCAGTGAAACAACCTAACTACAACCATACGGCACAAATTACGCGCTGTAAGTGGTCGTACTTACCGAGGCGCTCAATTATTCCTGCCCTCATCGACGAGGCAAGTCAGTTTCCGATAAGCGCTGTGTCTTGTACCTAATCTCCCTGTCTCAGGCATTGTGTACCTATCCATGAGGATATATATACTGACAAAACAGGTAGGGGCATATACATCTTCAAGCATTTGTCTCTTTATTTGAGTCAGGTGGTCAACCGATCAACGGGTGACTTGAAAGTTGAGATCCAAAAACCTGCCTTTCCATTCGATCCATGTACATCCCCAGAATTGTGCTGATCAACGTTAATTTGAAATCGTCAGCTTTCAATAAGACCATGTCGATTAATCGATACCGGATTAGCTTGTGCGCATCGAAAACCCCGACAAAAGCTATCGGTTCGCCTTGGAATTAAGAACTGGACCTCATTATCTCACTGAACGATTGCATTCGTTCTACTTCTTTATTGTTTTTTATTCCTAATTGCGATATTAATTTGATCCCTGTCGGTGCTACGTCTGAAGCAATACAAGCAAAATGTTGAATCCCACAGCTGTTTCCTTCTTGCTCTATTACTAGAAATATATTTATCAGTAAGTAGGAGTACGCCTAATCAGGACACCGTGCTTATTCAACTTCAGGAACCTAGCCAATCCGGAGGGACAAGGTTCAAGTTAAGTGTTGATATCATTGCATGAGGCTTGCCCCAAATAGGCATACCAGAGTTAGGTTTGTTCCGATTATCATAGACACCGTTTCAATGTTCCAAATGTCAAACGACGTTGCCAAGTAGAATCAAGTCGAGAATGACCTCCGTGCCACTATAACAATAATAATAATAATAATAATAATAATAACCGGGTGCAGATACTTACGGCAGGTACTTACAGTAGCGTCGATGAAACGTTTACCTCATTGTTTCATTCTGCTTCCGGCACTCGCATGGACAGTCTTCGCCAGAGAAAAACCGCAAATCACTTATTGCATGCCGATAAAAGCACAGATACCATATGTGCGGCACTGGTTGCCCTGTTCACACCAGCCTATACGAGTGTGTGTATCAATTTCCAGCCAGTGTGTTGAGATACTCATGGTTATGCCTTCTCGAAGTTTTTGGCGGTTTAGCTTTATTCGCCCACCCATTCGAATCGCTGAATTACTAGTAGAGAAACCCAAACTAATACTTCGCCTTTCGTGTACTCCAGAGCTGATCAAAGCAGATAATCAACTGGTTGGAAATTTTTATTCAGAGACCAGACAATAAGATGGTGTTGAACATTCACTGGAGCGTCCTATTATCACCCTCCGGAAGAACCCACATGATTTGGTTCACAGAAAAAACACGCAAAATATTCCCGACTCGTGTTCAGCTTAGCGCATGCACCAAGGTTCGGTTGCTATCTGTTGTGAAATATGTGCATGTTAAATTTTTTAGAATCGAAAACCAAATACGCACAAATGAAAAACGCTATTTTGTTTTTCAGCGGTTTGCTGGAATGAATTCTTGAAATTCTTGTTCCTTGATGACCCATAACCGGGACATCTTTTTTCAAATGTCATGAGCTTTTGGTAAGTTAACACGTGACACGAGTCAAAAACTCAAAAAGCGGATGCTGAACTCGGCCCAAAGAAGTCACTTTTGGCTCCAATATATTTTTACCTGGGTCATTCATTTGGATACAACTGGGATGCATTTGGATGCAACTGCAATAAGAATTCAGCTATACGTGCGACTGTGGCATAATTTGAGACAATAAAACGGTCTTGGAGACCCTATTTCTGACACTGTTAATAAAGCTTTTACTCGATACGAATGACCTCAACCGATCCTGAACAAGGAAGCATAAGTTGCACTGTTGATTTTTGTTGAGTAGGAGATCAGTTAATTTTATGGCGTACCAGGCGGTCAGAGCAAATCCGCCATCATAAGAGCGATGTGAGATGAGATATTCTGTGGAACTGACATCATTTTAGCCATCAAATGAAGCGTTCTTTTCATTCAAAAGAAGCCAATATGCCGTAGGAGCATCTCACTTCACGACTCACATCCGTGGTCACTCCGCGATTTTATTCATGTTTCTTCCATTGGACCAGTTGCCCGTTGGTAAAAAGGTTGCGTTTGTAAGCCTTGTCGAAGTACAGAAGAGAAACGGAAGGATGCTGCATAGTTGTAGGCTAGGCGTACATGTCCTCGTGCGAACCGTAGGTGTATTCATACTTGTTGAGATTTACCACGGTTCCACGTCAGCACTAGAAGGGTGACCTCGTCACATATGCACCACTGGTAGTTGCAATGTTTTGCTCGCATAATGACGCTTTACCAAGCTTTGTCATACGCTACTCTCATCCGTATTGGCTGA